CCCCCTGAGTCCCCACCCGCCACCACCACCACCACCCTTTCCGAAACCGAAGTTCGCTTATTTATTTATTTGTAAATTCCGGTTATCTGAGGCTCGGAGATTTCAGGTGGACGCGCTCGTCCACTGTATCGCCGTCGCACCCCCTACCCACCCACTCCCCCTGGGGGGGGGGGGGGGGGGGGGGTAGGAGGAATGATAATAACCTATAGCTTGCTACTTTTCTTAGGATCAAATAAAACCCACCTTAAGTAAATATTCACGTCTTTTTATCTTATTGCTTGATAATTAAGCTCATGGATAAACTATTTTATTCTATTTTTATGAGTGCATATTCATTTGCCAAAAGCTTAACCTGAGCTTTTGTTTCTGGCATTAAAAAAAATAAAAAAATAAAAATACAACCTTAAATGCGGCTCAGGCAGTACAGTGAGCTGCCTCACCTTGTTACAGGCCGTTGCGCTGCGCCAGTTTGCTTTTTTTTTAATGTCTTGCCCTCCACAAGACTATATAGTCCACGACAGCCAAATAATAATGAATCATTTCATAAATAATGGGTTTAGGGGCTTATCGGGAATGAAGAGGCCGCTGCCGTGCGCTTATCTCACTCGGCCACATTGCGGCCTGTGTTCCGCTCCCCATACAGAGGGAGCGCACTGGATGCGGCGGGGAATAACTCAGCTGCACACACACACACGCAAACACGCACACACACACACACACACACTGCTTCACAACCTGCAGGAGGGGAGAAAGAAAAAAAAAAGAAAAAGCTCAGACATGGATGACCCGCTCACAAAATGGCTCCACTTACAGAGTAACATCAACAACACGGCTGGAACGGTAAGTGCCAAAATAACATGTCCGCGTTTATTCCGTCGTGTTCGTTTTAAAACGGTCTGATAGAGGCACCGATCGGCTGTGTTTTGTTGGTGTAATGAGGGAAATATTTAGTTTGTGTTTTGTCTGGATATGCGATGAAGAGGCGAGGCCTGTTGGAGAAATTCACTCCCGTTATACCACAAAATAAAGGTGCGTCTTTTTTCCAGAGCTGTTCGTTAAAATGGACATTCCTGGAGGGTTGACTGAACAAATGAGCGCCAGAAACATTTGACACAGCATGTTAAACCATTACTGTTTGATTTGAATAACAACAGCGTTATTGCCTCAAAGACAAATCCTAAAAACAAACAAACAAAAAAAAAAAACATGTTAAATCTTTAAGCTCACGTTTGTTGGTTAAGAAAACGTTTTGCTCTGAGCTACTTTTTTTTTTAAATAATCCACGAGGGCAGAATTTCTGCAGAACGATCCAGCTCTTTCTGTCCAAGACGACATTTCTTTTAAAACGCTCGATCCGAGCTCAAACGTGGAGATGTGTCTGATAAAAAAACGCTTTTAGAAAAAATGCGGATAAACGCATCTCATTTTAATTGAAATCAGCTGAAACCAATAAAAAAAAATACAGTGATTTAAAAATAATAATAATTATATGATTATTTCAGAATTAGGTTAGGAACATCTTACAGTGTTTACCAATAAGGTACGCTGTGAAATCTTCCATATATTTCACAAAAATATCAAATTCTGAAGAGGAAATTACTTCAGTTTAATTATAGGCCTATTGTTTTCGCTTCAAGAAGAGCCGCAATATTATTTATCTAGTCAGTTTATAATCCCGGAATAGTCTGTTGTACAGTAGAGAATGTGCAGTATTTGATAATATTGCAGGGTAAATATGATTTTGTTAAAACCTTATACTGATATTCTTTTTTTTTTTTTTTTTTTCAAAAGGTCTCCGACAACTAGGTTAGAAATTATTTTTCCATGACTACACAGATACGATGACGATTTAATTAAGGGAGAAAAAAAATCTAGTTAGTATCATTTTGATTTGGGACTCTAAGAGAGTTGACGGTATCAAAAATGATGGAAAAACGGGAGCACGAGCTTTTTCCTCGAAGTCCCGACGCGGGATCGGGTCCTGGAAAGCGCGAGGACTCCGCCATCATCTCCAGACAGAACGGATACAAGAAGGACGAGGAGCCGCGGCGAGAAAAGGGGGGAGAAGAAGAAGAGGAGGAGGTGGGAGAGGAGGAGGAAGGGGGAGATGGGGAGAGGAGAAGGAGGAAGAGGAGGAGGGGAGGTTGCTTCAAAGGGGCTGAGGAGACGGATGACGTTCCTCTGCAGAACTCGAGCAACGGGACCAGCATCAGCATCAACGGCGTTGCCAGGGAAACTGCCTCTCACAACGCCCTTAACCTGAAAAGGGAAGTGCCGGTGATCGAGCTCTCCAGGAGGGACGCTATAAAGGCGCTGGAGCAGAGGACCGAGAACCATTTGGTGCCGATCACGGAACTTCGCAGACCCCCACCGCCGCAGCTGCTGCCGCCGCAACGAGACGACGCTCGAATGGTCCAACTGAGCCCCAACGCGTTTCCTGTCCCGGCCCGGGCAATGCTCTACAACCTGGCGCAGCCTCTTGCCGCCATCAACAGGTAATGGGGAAGTGACAGAAACATAAATCATCTACTTTCATACATGCTCCTTTTGTCTTTGCTAAAAGTGTTCATTGCAGGTTGGAAATTATAATATTGTTTAATACTTCATATAATTTGAATGAGTGTTAGTGTTCCCCTGGTGCAAAGTGAAGACAAAAAACAATTATGTTATGTTTTATGCATTACCTGTTTTTTTTTTCTTTTTTTTTCTTCGTTTGCTTTTATTTTAGTCTTGGAGGAGAGTCGGAGCAGTACAGCATGTACCCCAGCAACAGGGTAAAGCGCCGCCCGGCGCCTTATGAGGTTGAACTCGACGAGGGTAGGCGCATTTTAGATCTTTATAAGTATGGTAAGATGCACTTCTGCTGTGTGATCCTTCTGACTACAGTCCCTAACGTCCCTCCCTCATCCCCATTGTCATTCATTCCCTGACATGGAATATACAATATCAAATATGAGTGTTGCAGAAGCTGCTTTAGGGAAGATGGTGTTCAACTGAGGAATGTCCAAAAATGTAAATATCTGGCACAAGTTACTCTTGCCAATCTGAACGCCAAATATATGCACCTTCATGCCATCGAAACAAGTCTTTTTCAAGCAAATTTGGAGTTTATTTCATTTGAAACATCTTTTCTGCTGCTGCCCACTCACTGCCACATGAGGAGAATGAGGGTTCTGCTTCCTCCATGCCAAGGTTTTACTGCAGAGTAGGCTGAGGGATTAAGATAGACTGGGTGTGTTCCAAAGGAAACAATAGCCCAAAACATGCATCATTATTGGGGGTGGGAAAATTTGACTACCTGCAGTGAAGCATTTTATTATGCCTGACAAAATAAATTGTACATAGAATGCTCAGTGTGGTGAACAGGCCTCCAAACATCTATTCAGGAGGTTTGGCAAGTGATACCACTACATTTCTTGTGTCACAATTGAAAACTTTATGGATTTTTTTTTAATAACCCATGGTTGTGTGGAGGATGGTTTTGCAACTTTAATTTATTAGAAATTTTAATTATCATTTTTTAGTTTTTTCCCTCAGAAAAGTTGTGCATCTGCTATCCGCCGCGAAATCTTCCAATCTTACTTTTGCACTTGTCGAGCCCTTTTAAAAGACATACTCTGTTTGAGCAATGCAAATGATGTTTCTTACTCTTTTCACTGAATTATTCCCTTTTCCTTCGTTTCACCTTTGACAGCTGGGCAGCCAAAGATTGTCCGCCGCATCTTCACAAACAGCCGTGAGCGTTGGCGGCAACAGAATGTAAACGGCGCGTTTGCAGAGCTGCGGAAACTCATCCCCACTCACCCTCCAGACAAGAAGCTGAGCAAAAATGAGATTCTGAGACTTGCTATGAAGTACATTAGCTTCCTCTCCAACCTTCTGGAGGATCAGGATGGGGGGAGGAACGTTGGTAGCACAACTGATGGGGACACGGGGCTTCTGGTTGGTGTTGCGACTCACGAGGGAGGCCCTCAAGGGACACCACATCAGGAAACCATGACGAGCTTGGCGAGGGATGATCTTCTAGAGACGATGTCACCGAGCTCTAGCTGCGGAAGCCTACCGGACGGCGATGCAGAAGGGAGTCCTGAGAGCTTCATGGAGGAGCAGGACTCGCCTCCAGCTCCGAGGACTCTAACAGCCTCACGTGGGCCCTCACTGCATCTATCGGCTAGGGATCTGAGGCGCAATGGACGCCCATTAGATGGTTCCACTCGCCGATGATGCTGATGCCAAAAGACCACAAACACAACTAAAAATCAATTAGGGAAAGAACATGAAAGTGGATGACATCAGAACCATGTTATCCTTTGAGTCATCAATTTAGCAAGAAGAACCACAGCACATGTGAAGAGAAGGTGATTCCTAAAATAGATTGTGGGTGTGCTCTGTCTCCAGAGTGCATGAAACAGCACTGATGTGCACTGTGGTTGAATTTGACCCGAAAGACTTGTAAATTCTGCATGTCTCATGTCCTTGACCAGCCTGCAAATGGTGATTTTGTTGCGTGTTTTAAAACTCCAAAGACACTCTGAAAATATCTAAATAAAAGCACAAGGAAAACAATTTTGAACCCTAAACATTCAAGAGATGATCAGTGGAAAACATTTTTTTTAATGTGTAAACTGAGCATCAGTGCCTCGTTTTGATTACAAAACGGTGCGTCGCAGATGGATTCATCTTGCTTACCCTGTGTCACAAAGAAATCAATCAAAAATAATTAAACGAAAAAATATTTGATCAAGTTTGAGATGTTACATTTGGAAGAACAGTTCACCAGTGTGAACAGAATAAACTAATTGGTCTGTAAGTGTGCCCACGCAGGTAGGTATTGTAAATAGTATTATATTTTCACTGCACAATGTAACACAACTGACTTAAATTCAAGTCATGTGGTTTAAAGTGTACCATAAAGTGTTTGTCAATGAGTTTACTATTAAAACTGTCTTTTAAGAGGCAGAAACTATAGCGAGGGGAGAGAAGAAATCAGTTGAACTCTAAAAGCCAACGATTCAACGTACACATGAAAGTACGTTAAATGTGGTACCACGTCCTTTTGGGTTACAATTTGGTGATTATAAAACAACACCAAATATTTGTCCAGTCAGTCAAAAGTTTCTATTTGAAATTATTGCGGAGGTACAAGACAAGCAGTACTCTTAAAGCGTACAAAAACACAGTGTGGGTCACATGAAATCATGAAATGACTCACGCGGTCTTTTTGATATGAATGTTTCTGTGTTTTATGAACTGTACTGCAGATGTAGTTTAGAAAAGGTACACAAACGAACCACTTTGTTCCAGCTTTTTTGTATGTACATGCACACACACCATAACCACCCCCAAAACAGTGTTATATCATAAAAACACCAGCAGTTTTCTGACAAACAGCTATGTATTGCTCACTGTTGTTGGTTATTCTGCATTTTTAGCAGGACCTAGTAGCTTATATAGGTACCTTTGGTATTTTATGAATTACAGTAAAGGGACATTGTACGTTTGGTAATGATATATGGTTGTATGATAGTTGTAACTATAAATATATCCAATGTTAAGCTGATGAATTTTATACAAAACCCCTGAATAAAATATGTTGAGAAAAAGTCTTGTATATCTGCTCTGTCAGACCTAATAGGGCGTGTTCAATTCAATTCCATTCAGTTCAGTTCACTTCAGTTCAAAACAGCAGGGCTATTCAACTAAATAGCTCAGGGGGACACAGTTACTGAAAGCCAAGAGCTCAAGGGCCGGACATCCAGCAGTTATTCCCATTAAATAAGGTTGTTTTATGGTTTAATTTTTTTTTTTTTTTAAATGAACCCACTGGTGGGCCGAACTGAGCACACACGTGGGCCTGATTTGGCCCCCGGGCCATCAGTTGAATAGCCCTGCAATACAGTATTTCCATTCTTTTCTGATCAAAGAAGGAAAATTGAACGTCATTTTTTTTTTTTGTGGCCATTTTTTAAATAAATCTCTACATTTTTTAATATTTCTGAACTGCTAAACCAAATTCACTCATCCCCAAAGGCGGACAGTCATGCCATGCCACTACGTCCCACCTAATCTGCACATTTTGAAAAAAAAAACTGAACCACAACCTCCTCTGAGAAACCCCTTCGGTGCATGCTATAATCCTCACTTCCTCCCCAACAAGTGACAACTTCCTGTGGAGGTCAGCACGGCTCGCTGACCTACAGGATATCCTGCCATTGTGAAAGTGCTTTTGACAGCCTCCACTGCACTCGTTTTAACCGCTGCTGTGTCTGTGCATTTTTCGTGAAGCAGCCACACAAATCGAGACTTCACCGCCCGTAAATTATTCAGTTACGCAAGAAGGGAAAAAAAAGCGTTACCAACTTGTGTTTAAAAACAGCAGAGTGGCATAATGCAGTGTTTTCTGAAGTCTACTTCTCTGAATTCTTTAACTTCATGTTCAATGGGCAATATCTCCAGTTCCACTACCACAAAGCTCAGTGGACTTTTCTTAAAGCTGTAAATTCTTCCAGGGAGCATCAGAGACATCCAGGTGTTTGGAGACCTCTCTGCTCTGGCTCCACTGACGGGCCTTTTGGGTTAACGCCTGCCAAACATTTACCTGCCTCACTCTCAGAAAACACTCGCGGAAAAGAAGGATAGAGGGACTGAAAGAGGGGGAGCGGAGAGGATGTGTGTGTCAGTGTGCGTGTTTACGTGTTTGTGAGAGCTGGCTTGTGTGCGTCTGCATTACATGGATTTGTTTGTGTGAGCCGAGTTGTGTGAATGTGTGTGTGTGCCTTTATCAGCTCAGTGCAGATGGGTGGCAGAGTGGCTCTTGCAGCCAAATGATTCAGTATGCTAATGAGTTGTTATCTGTGGTGCTGCAGGAACAATATACTGTCTTTCTCACAGTGGGGATCCAGCCTGCCGGGAGCAGATTACACTGCACACACCGCCAAGGTAGTTATTTATATTTTCACACAGAGTAGTCGAAAATACATAAATGTACAAACACTCTTATGCACTTACCCACACATGCACAAATGTGTGTGTGCACGCGCACAAACAAGCGGAATAACATTTTAACGAATGGACACAAATTTGCCTCCATCGCCACAAATGGCGACGCAAATAAGATGGAAGTTTGACGAATGTAGTGCGCCCTTCAGCAGCAGATAGAGATGTCATCCTGGGCTTTCCTGTGGAGCAGGTTTCATCGTTGTGCTCGTGTCTTGTTCATACTGCCATGTGAATATTTCATTAAAGGTAACCTTTAACTGATTTTGTATAATCCTGTAAAGTTTGCACTCTCTAAAGCCATATAATATTTGGTTATAAGATGCTTTTAATCAGGAAAAATGCAATGTTTATTTGACATAAAGTAAACGTCCATGGAAGAATTACTGGCAGAATTCTGTAATTACAAATTGATGATTTTAAAATGACATTTATTGTCTTTAATGGAATAATTGAGATCATTGTAGAATTGATAGCTTTTCGTGTTTCATTACAAACCACACATGACGATCTTAGGTGTTTTGGCTTCTTATTTATTTATTTATTTATTTTTCTACTTATACTTGAGGAGCAAAATTACCACTGAGGCTGCACATGATCCTGCTCATTTGGATATGATTGAATACAACATTCTCTAATATCAAATCTGTCACAAATCATGTTTGATTTTACTGCAGTATAGATTAGAGTCCAACATGTTGATTGTTATATCCGTTTTAGCTTCTTTCTGGAATTTTAAAAACAAAAAAGACATATTTGGATATATGGTGTAAACATTTTAGTGCTCTTAATAATTTTAATTTTAGCTACATAAATATAAACCCAAATTACTGCTTTTGTAATTCGTACGACAAAGGTTGAGATTGCACTGTCTGATGTTTATATTGTATAACATGATTAACCTTTTTTTTTAAACATATTTTTTTAAAAGACAAATTATAAAGGTCTTAACCCATTGTTTGAGAGCTGTAGAAATTTATACTGTCTTGTGTTTTTTGTTTAATATTGCTTTAATAATTATTTCAGAGCAATGAAGTCTCATTTAATCATTAATCATTTAAATAGATTTTTTTTTTTTTTTGGAGGAAGGGGTGGATCATTTATTAAAAACTGTATTAAGATGCTTACATTTGCAATTACTGTTCGCATGGGTTTTTATCTTATATCAAAAATACCTGTAAAAAAGCAAAACAAACATCAAAATTCCAAAAATGAGCACTTATGCTTTTTGTGATTAGATTTATATCCATATACTGTAACTTAAATGGCAAATGCAGCACTCCACTGTGAAGGATTCTTTAAAACAAAGAAATACAGTGATCCTTTTGCAAAGATTAAATATGTTCTAACATGACCATACGTAAGAAAAAGCAGAAGAGACATTGATTTTATGTTCTATTATGTAAACAGAACATTGGAAAATATTATCAGTTTAAGTTTCTTGCATCATTTTGACAGATACTGTCTAATCAAATATAAGATAATAAAAGTCTGAGCTATTTTTAAGGAACTATGGGAGTTCTTAGAGTATTATACAGTGCAACTTTCTCTGCTGCAGAGTGTTATCCTCTGTGTGCACAGATAGGATGACCTGATATTATGAATATATGCAATTTATTAACAAGTCTCAGTCAATCTTTCAATCTTCTGAAAATTAGCCACATGCACGGCTGCTGTTAATGTTCGTCGATGAATAGAAAAACAACAGGTGCTTTGTTTCTGCTCTGGAATTGCTCACAAGTCGGTGAATGGCTTAAACCAAATGTAAGAGCTGTGTTTAACAAGAGTAACTGAAAATTCAGAATAAAAAAACTCAGCTTTGTTCAACCTGTTCTTTGTATGACAATTGATTTATACTGATCTAGTTTTTTAATTGCATTTTATTTTTTCATTTTAAAAACTTTTTTTTTTCTTTTCTCAATGATAGACATATAATATTTGTATAGGCTACAGCCCCCTTTTATTTGGGCCTGTCCAAAGGCTGGCTATCCTCCTGTTAGTCCTTAAATCTGTGCATATTTCGCCCTCTAGTGGAAGCCAACTCTAACAGCTGCCTCTGAAACTGAATCTGAGTCACCCGAAGTAAGTTACACAATCTTTTCTCAAGTTACAAATGCTTTATAAAATAAAAGGCCCAGCATTCTGTGGAGAATTGCATATGATCTGATTTTCGGTACATTAAAATTACATCGTTTGATAAGAAATGACAGGAGTGGCAGACATGTCAATCCATGTAAAGTATGTTTTGTTCAGTCTCATGCGATACTGAGAGATTCTGGGAGATGTGTTAGTAATCAGAGTATATAATAATGATGACACTTGACTACTATCACACCATATTTAGTCTCAATACATGTAAAATTACATAAGTTATGGCCATCTTTGTGTTGGATGATGTTAAACAAATGTGAAGGACTTCTTGAATTAGGTTGATTACAAAATCATCATTTTGCCCATCTAATTATAAATTTCTGAAAATTTCATTTTCATCCGTCTGGTGGTTCATGTGATATTTTGTTAAAGAACAAACATGACTCAAACAGTACAGTGCTGCCAAACGTTTTAGGTAAAAGTAACGTGATGTGTACACCATGTTTCCCACGGTTGGTTGGCTGTAACGGCCATCTTGATTTTATTCTAAATTTTAATCAGTTGTAGATACATATCCAATAAATATTTACTAAAGGCAGCACAGTGGCTCAGTTGGTAGAGCTGTTGTCTCTCAGCATCAAGAAGATCACCGGTTCAAATCCTGGACCAGGGCCTTTCTGGGTGGAGTTTGCATGTTCTCTCCGTGCATGAATGGGTTTTCTCCCACAGAACAAACACATGCATGTTAGACTGACTAGTAACTAATTTGTCTCTAGGCATGAGTGAGAGAGGGAATGGATGTTTGTCTCATTTGTCTCCGTGTCCCTGTCATGAACTGGAGACCTGTCCAGGGTGTCCCCGCCTCTCGCACAGTGATGGCTGAACATGGGCACCAGTGACCCCCGTGACCCCTAAAGGAAGAAGTGTTATGGATAGATGGATGGGTGGATGAATTTATTTATTTATTGCTCATGAAAATATTTATTTCCAATAGTTATTTGCAATAAAAAAAAACATCTTGTGCATAAAGTAGCACTCAGATTATCATTTGTAGATTAATTTTATACTAACACATCACATTTTAGCTCAATATATCTAAAACTGGATAAATTATAGCCTTTTAAGTTTGCTTAGCTTTGGTGGCCACCTTAGATTGTGTTGACTCCAACAGTTAATCAGCTTAGTTGTATATTTAACGATTTCTTCTCAATGTTATGCTAAAATCCATTCACTTCATGAGATATTTTGCTAAGTTGGCCAACATACAGTATGAACACACACACACACACACACGGGGTGAAAGACATAATTGTCTTTTACCTTCAGTCACAGGGGATAATAAAAAAGAACTCCACTTCACAAATAAAACTTCAAAGTAATTATTTTTCAAGCAATGTGAATTTATTGCAGTGTTAAAAACTGAAATATTGCATACACTTAATACTGAAGAACCCTTTATGTTTAATTATAGCGAAGCAAGCAAATCACTTGATTACAGCACAATGTACCAGCAGAGAGATTCTGAGCAGCAACATTTAGCTGAATCACATTCATTTAGCAGAGAAGAGCATTAGATTGGGGGGG